CAAGGATAACTCAGGACATCTCAGTAATCTCTACTTACGCTTAGACATTTCAGAGAAGCCGAGTGGAAAAATGGTTTAGAAACCAAAAAATAACTCCTGCCAAAACATTTCACGGGATCAAGCGAAAAATCGTTTTCGTTGCTCGTACACTTATCAGACAGCTTGTACAGAAGCACCTCTCAGATCAACCCCCTTCATTGAAATTTATTATTTCTATATTTCTTTTGAAGATAGTTGTGTTGGCTGCAACGTTCATAATCACTATGCGCCTGACAACTCATTTTGTCAATAAAATTATCTCATGAATCTCAGTGACGGAGAAAAATCATCGTCTTTACATGTCTGTTTGCAAAGCAATTTCACTCGTCAGCAACTGGAGCAAAAGAGTTAAACACATTTCATAAAACCACCCCTCACTGCTTATCTTGAGAAGTATAGCAGAAAAGGATAAAAACTACAAAAAAGCGTTCGAGCGGACTTACCTTCATTACAATTGTACACAGTCTGCCCCATTGTATTTAATATAACGTAACGGTTCGCCACTTCGATATCTGTGATTACTGAAAGACGATACATAAGAGGAAAATATGAATTCACTGAAAAGCAACTACTAGAAGCTGTTCGTTTCAGTTACCGAAAGAAGATGCTGCATTATTTTGAGATGTAGAATACGCAGTGACAGTTAGTAGATTACCCAGCTTGTTGATTTCCCTAGTGTAAAAGGAATCTTTCATACGGACTGGTTATGCTTTAGGACTTACTGAAGAATGGTAAAAGTTATTTCGCCCGGTTGATCGCATGCATCAAGTTTTTCATGTTTTGGATCATCAGGTTTCGGAATAACTACCACTTTCAACGCAACATGAAACCCTTAAATCGGCATCACAGCCACGGAAGCATGTCCTCATTCAATGGTTATTCATGTGAAAATAAAACTCTGAGAAGAAAAAGAATAACCTGGCGTTTAGTGGAAGGCAAAAGTTTTGTTTGTTCTTATCTTCTTCGTGCGCGGACTTCTGATTTCGTTTCTGTCAAGTGTTCCACAGTGGGAATGCACGCTCCTCACTAGAACTAGCCATGGGAACTGACAAGTATTTAACAGTTATTTTACCAAGTGTGGACCACAAGATTTTTCAAGACTCCTGGAAACCATCGGTTAATTTGTCATTTTTCCAGGTACTGAATGCAGGCATCAGTCAGTTCAGTTTGTCAGCTTTAAAACCAGACACCATGAGCACATTGGTTCTAGGTACCATAGTTTCGATCATCGGGAAGTGATAGAATATGGGACAAAGAGGCACGCTTTGGGGGCGACGAGATGTTCGGTTAGTTTGGGAATTATGTAGCTACGCGTTAAGGGTCATGGCTCTGATGTACGCACGTAACTGACTTTCGGTTGGATCATTTATGCCTGTGTCATTAACCATTGATAAATGGCGTCCCGGGTTCCCCTACCAGGAGGCAGCAAATGTCGACCCGACTCAGTTTACTGGTTAATATTTCCATTCTCCGTTACCGCTGACTTCTCGGTTACTTCCACTCAGCACAGGGGTGAGCGTAAATAGATCTGCGAGATAAATGACTCATTGACGTTATGGAGTGCATGCCTCGAATAGCATAACCAATGGGGTGTGAGTAAGCCGTCCAAAAAAACATCTGTGGTACCGCATTTTTACTGACCCGATGCTCCCACCAGACTCAAGCGATGGTCAAACACCGACATCCTTTGTATGTTCTTCACACGTAGAGGTGACGTCTCTGAACAATAAAGCATTATGGATTGCACTACCACAGTGTAAACTCGGCCACTGACAAACTGACGTCACTTGGGAGCCAGGTTTTGGAAGTTGGCAAAAGCTACCCCAGCCTATCCGAATCGAGGAGTATTATATCTCCAGTCAGTCCCATACTACGCTTAGGCAAAACATCTATCTACCACGTCGATTTGCTCGTCTTCAAACATGATGTCTGGGTTTGATTCTACCAACTCTTGTAAAGGCCCATTGCACTGTGCAGGTGTGAATCACACGCCAAACCGTACAGCAAGATTATTGTTCATTTAAAATTGCCTTCATTACTAAAGGATCTGGACAAAAGAGGGGAATATAGAAAGCATGCCCGGTATCTGTGTGCGAACATCCCAGGAGCCGCCCAGTTGTTTAGAGTCGGGGAAGTAAACTTCAGGCAGCGCACCAATAGCAAATTTAAGGTGGAAAGCCTCGCCTTGTACAACCAGACGTAGTGAATTCAGGCGAAAGCTTGGCGTATATTTGTACACGCCCACAGATGTTTGCATACGGTGACCTCATAAGGGATAAGTTTCAGAAGGGAACCAATAATCGCAAAACACACTCAGAGTTTCTGGCAACTGATGTTCAAAAGTAGCTTCCAGATAAAAAAAGTTACAAACGTGGGACATTTGAATGAGTGATGCTGCTCAAGAATTCGTCTTAAGTTAAGGATATGATCCATGCATCCTTGGACATGGGAATTTCGGCTTGATTCTCACTAATCTGTATCCCCCGATAACTGATCAGTGTGAACAAAATAATGCCATAGAACAGATTAGATGGGTCGAATCCCAGGAAGATGCCTGACATTCTTACGTCCTTTTTGATGACGGTCCATGTCCGGTATCCTGTTTTCATTTCAAGTCGTCTGCAATACGGCTGTAAGTGTTCACCAGGGCCTCATTACCTTTTTTGAAGAGTGTGGTACAAACTACCCGGGCCAGATACCTTACCGTGTTGAAGGATTGGTATCTCATGTTGTACTTCTGTTTTTGACAGCGCGCTGCTGTTGATGTTCTAATCAGGTCAGCTGTGTTCTTTCATCGGCAGTGTTGAAGATCGGCTGAGCTGTTCTTTGAAGTGCCCAGCCTATCGTTCAAGACAACGATTTTGTAAGTGAATTTACGTAATGTCTATTTCTTACATTGTTTCTCTGACAGGAAGCTTGTAGAAAGCAAATTGATAATCGGGCTCCCACAACGTTATGATCAGAGCCAAGTTGCGTATCGTAAAAGGAGCGTCTATCACTAATTGAGACTTTTCATCGGTAATTGATAGCCAGATGACCAATTGTGTCCACGAGTGCCTAGCGATTGGTGGCTTCCAAGTAACTCGAAGGGAGCGTTTGTGTTGAAAGTGTGTACTGGTTAGGAACGTACGATGATCAGTAGACAGCTGTAGCAGTCATTCCCCATTATCCGTACGTCAAGCATCGACTCCAAACCTACCATTTAACTGTCCTTCCACCGGATTTATTTCCCCAAATTGGGCATTCACATTACCCGACAAGATTATCAAATTCATTCTTCTCGCTGACTAAAATGGTTGCTTCATAGCTCGATAAAACCCACCCATCTGTCTTAGCACTGTGGTCTGTAGGAGCGTATAATGATACGGCAAGTAAGTACCTGTCACCCCATCGACCTGGATTGATCTTAATTAAACCAACCATCTGCGTAGTACAAAGATGACTGTTTAATGTAATCCACTCCAGTAAGTCGCCTTCAGTCTTGGACCTGAGTGCAATTCTCACGTCATAAATACTACGAGCTATTGAAAGTGAAATGCATAACATTTGGGCTTGTCCTAACCGAAGGGATGCGCGACCGAAATGAAGTCATGCATGAGTGCTTTGAAGGCACGGCATACATCGACACAGAGGCAAATCAAGGTTTCAGCAAGAAATGCTTGTTGCCTACTTTGACATCGAGTACAGACACTGACAACCGCAAGGTGAATCAGAACTTTCAAAATTTTAGGAGAGCGTGGAACTCACCATCTCCCAGTTGGTAGTGTGAATAGTTTACCGCTCGACTGCGAGGGCCTGATCAGCAGTGTGATTAGCTCACGCTTCGCTCGAAATGCTTGGGGTTTGCGCACTGCTGGTGATAAAACAACTGCACAGTGCTTCTCGTCTTTTCAGCAAAAGTCAGCTTCACTTATAGGAAAAAATGTCTAATAACATCCAGATTAAAGAGGTCTATGTAAAGGTAGAAATGTGGTTTTATATAACGCCTTATATTTGCGGCTGGCAATCGAATGCTAAGCAACTGAACCTATACATTCTGATCTAAACTGTGCACCACCTTCACACAGAGTAAGTGGATACTTCACGGTAATTAATGGGTAATTTTTTCGAGTAGCTAGCAACACTCAAAATTTAGTTCCCATCTGCGAGGCTAGCTCGCATGCAGTTCAAAGGGACGACGAAGCATGCTACACAAATTAAACGGACTCACTTTCGAACAGTTCTTTCTTTTGCTTCACCAAGAGCTGATTGACTTGTGTGAGGTATTCCAAACCAGGTGGACAGTTTGGTACCACGGGCCGTGGTATCACGTTTGCTAGATAGCAAATAAATAAATAAAACCTATGTGTAAATAAAAATCAGTGTGCAGATATAGGCATGCATATATGTACACAGTAGTCTCTCTTATCGGTTTTTTGTATTCAAGCGACCATTCAACATTCACCACAATAGCTAACCGGTATAACATTCGGCGGCGAAATCCAGTTCCAGCTAGGGTAACCCGATAATCATACCCACTTAATTCCATACAGGATAGTATAACCGAGTTGTGGTCAAATCAGTTATGGATAGTTGCCGTATACATTTGCCCCTCTGTAAATCTCACACACGTAGAAGCCCTCCCCAAGAAGAAAACAGCTGCGGTCGGTTACCGGATAACTGTTATCGTTTAAACCCCATCCCATGGGAAATTCCTCTTTCGCAAGAAACTATTTTTGTCAAACTGCCTTGATGGAATCTCCACTAGGTATTACCTTGGTCACAAACACAGGCGGAAACGAGTAAACTGGTAGTTATAATGAGTGAATTACAGTATTACTTTTCACACCCTGTTTTAAAGCCTGAGTGTCCAGAACTTTTTGACACACGTATAGAGCACTATCAGACGGAAATATCGTTAGCATTTGGATAATTTCAGTACCACTAGAGCATTCTAGCATTTTTTCGACACTGATTCAAGATTAGGTCTCACGTGGTGGGTAACTTTGAGGGACATGACCACGACCATACGGATCCTGAGGTCCAGGGCCAGGAGGATAAGGTACCGGAGGAATGTGAGAGCCCGCGGAAGGCGCGTAATTGGGTGGTGGGTAGGAAGGCAAAGGGTTCGAATCTGGTGCGTTATTTGGCGGGTGATATGCCACAGGTGGTCGCTGAGTAGGAGGACGTCCTTCTTCCACAGAGTCAGGTTTCATGTTTTTTGACGAGATAAACTGAAAATAAAGAATTGACAAAATATTAACGGATTTTTGGGATTTGTTGATAGTTTACAACATTTTATTGAACTATGCCGGACAATTTACACTCAACTTGCATTGAGGCTGTCGTAAAACTGCATCATAAAGCTTTCATCCTGTCAGAAAATGGCGCAAGTTAGGAATTTGCGACAATGTAAACGACGGTACAAAGTGCACAGAACTAAGGAGAATCTTGTCACTGAGAATTTCCGTAGATCCGTGCCTCATCCCAAAGACAGCTTCTTCAGCGACCATAGTTTTCCCATAACTTTGGACTATTAGCTAATTAAGCGGTTTATAAAACAGCATTTATTTCAGGTAGGAAGTAACTTGTTGGAGGACAACAGAAAGTTCTTCCTAAAGGATCAATACTTCAACCAACCATGATGTTCAAAACTCCCCAAAAAAAATACTGCATCAAATATCCACTCGAGAAGTAAAATTGATAAAAAAAATAGAAAGTTTTCAAAACATGGCTTTACGTTACTGACGTTTGAGTGAAAACTTTAATTTTGTTCTTCATCTGTAATCTATGATTTCTAGTTTGAGCAGCCGCGGTTCATGAGCACTGTTTTCGTCTTCCCAAGGTCGTCACAAAAGCAATGTAGTTTACACAAGCGCCAGCCAAACATAATTATTGCCAAATTTTACTCCAGAACGGACTGTTCGGTTAGTTGACTTTATGCTACAGCGCTACAAGAAAAGCAGGAACACGTTGGTACATTGTGCATGAGGCTACTAGAATGTTCAAGATGTGCTCAATTGGGCTGCTTTGCTGACAGATTGAAAAAATATTTGTCACCCAAATTAGAACTGTGGTAGATCTTTAATTGAGCAGGCAAAGAGATTAGAAAACGTTCCTTGCTCGGTTATTGTTAGTCCATCCTTCCCCCCATTGTAAAGAACTCAAATGCATAAAATTGCCTGTTCGCTGATAAGATTGCTTGAATCTGCTTTTTGTGCAAACGAGTCATTTTTTCGAACAATTGGTTGCTAGGTCTTCCCAATGATGCGTAGAGACATCATTCATGTGACAGCCGACGGTGCGAGGTTGTAAACGGATACGAATTCCGTACCACACTTCTGCTCTCAGACAGCTGTTGACTGACATGGTTGACTGACATGGTCATCACCATATCATCTCTTTCACTTTTCGTCCAAGATGGTGATGCGTGAATACTGGTGGTTGATCCGGAATTCAAGCTCAGTTTACGCTTGATATTCTTAAGCAGGGTAAACAACGCGATTTTCGAGGGATAAGCGACAAGGATATAATTGAAAGGCGGATAAAGCATGCTTCGAAAATGATCGTGATGTAACTGAGTATGCTTTAAAATATCTAGACTCCTTAGTCGTTATGAGAAAATAGCGTACCGTGAGAATGTTAAAGCCGCGGAAAATTGTGGTAATTCCAGGAATATCATGTTATCTTCGGAACGGTGTTATCACTGTGTTTTGGTAAAGAGTTGAAATCGGATGTCTACACCAACTGTCTTGTTTGAGGCCACGAAAGAATATCATCAGAGTCTGTGAGACTTAACTGTCTACCGGTGCTACACGCCACTCAGAAACCAGGAATTCGTTGTATCAAGGCTCCCAAATCCATGTATTCAACAGTCTCATGGATATGCCAGCCACTGAGCGCAAGTCGATATAGTTGAGTGTGGCACACCGGAAGCACGAGGACCTTTCAGCACAAAATACTACTAGTCTTATCGATATTGGAAACAAAACCCACTTGTGTATCACCACTCTCACCATGTGTTCGTTTCCTGGTAGTCTTACGGTGAACAGGCTTTTATGTTCACCGATTGGTGCTCCTAACTATAGCCTCCATACCTCTTTCGTGGCATTATTACCAACCGTACATTTCAACACAGTTTGAAGATCTAGAATCGGTTCTTATTAGAACAGTGGCACTCAGTTCATAATTTGTGGCATATTTGGTGCAGAGAGTTTTCCGGCTTTCCGTATTCTATGAATTTTGGGACAAATGAAACGCTGATCATCCCAAATAGCGCTTAACCATGAAATTCAAAGGATTCTTCTGAACACTCGTAGTAATTTGACGCCATTAGTCATTTATTGTTCAACTTGCACGCAGGTTTCAACCTGCCTTTATTTAGACACTCCGATGTTGAAGAGGGCTTCTATAAAGGTGTGATCTGATTCTTCAATAAATATTTCATCGTTTCAATTGCTCAAAAGAGCACCAAAAGACTGATTTTCAGCATTAAATATCAAGCGTCGTTGGCATTTTAATGTTGGGAGTCTGTCTGGATCGGTCATGATTTACCGGTAGTTTTGGATTGGCAAATAACATGTGCAGTAAAGTTGAGTACGGTAGCATGTTGATGCAAAATTTCTATAGCCACAAGCCATCGTTGTTGAAAAATGGAACTTCACTAGTAAGCGAAGTTAATGACCGGAAGTTTTGTGGTTCGAACTCGACCTCTGCATCTCAGATGCTCTTGTCCAGGCTTAGGCAACCTGGTGGTATCTCGGCGCTCGTGAGTCTTTCAAGTGGCATAACGGCTAAGAACCGAAAGGGTGCTACAGCTGAGTGTTTCATATTATTTTATTTTTGTGGCTTTCTGTGATCACAAGAAGATGTTCCGGCACTAAATTTTTAGTGCCTTTATGGCTACTCTTACTTGATCTGCGGAGCTTTTATAATAGAATGGCACTTAATTCAGTGCTTTTCTGCACTGACTACCCACCACATTTGTAGATTTTGCTATTTATGCCGGTGAATAAATGCAGTCTCGTTGTTCCGGGATGAGCATGTCACAAGAAATGTGACTGTTCAGCGTTGTGAAAAGAAAACTTTCACGTAAAAGCCGGACCATTGAAGTTTGAAAGTTGTCTGTGGCCGTTCGTACCTCACCTATGTCACCATTTGGCAACTCTTTACGTAAATCTGAAAGTGGGTAAATATATTTGCCCTCTCCACAGAAGTTACTATAAGGTACCTCAGAAGTGCTGCAAAAATAAGATTTGGATCTCTAAATATATGATTACACGACCCATCTGGCCGAGTAATGTGATGAATAGCTGCAAGAGAAATACAGGCTCCTATATATGTCATTGAATACTAGTTTGCTGGACAAAGTTGAGTATTTTTTTCAAATGTGGCCACCACCTAAGCTAGGCCAAGTGAATGGAGGCTTTCGCTTACTAGAGCCTTTAATAAGCACTCTATGAGAATTCTGTGTACCGTGCCAGACATTTCAATTTTCCTTAAAGGAGTGTATTTATCCACTCCCAAAAATACTCATGAGTCCGACCAGTCGTGTAGAAGCAGCCCGCATGCTAGTTCGCACTGCGATGAGCTTCGAGTCACAAGCTAACAAGCATACGGCTTTCAAATCCTGTTGAACTCATTTAACCTGACTAAACAGTTTTCTCATATGCGGGTCCAGAAATCCGTACTTCTTGAATGATTAATGACGACCTTTGCTTTGCACTCAACAAATATCATTACTAGCATGCCCCCTCCTAATGCCACGTGACTGATATTCACCATATGCTAGTTGCATATCGCACCAAAATCATTGGTCTGTTACTTTCAGACTTTCGATATTTGGGACTTAAGCTTCTTCGTCTACTTCCATAAGAATTGTGTGATTCGAATACGGTGGGATGCACAAAAGAATGTACTAGTCTTTTTGCGTTACCCTGATAAGTTACCAGTCTGTTACGCAATATGGAAAGCAAAATGCCCAATGTCATTGATGTACTTTTATTGCTTTCAGACGAACGTAAGGAGCATTTGATCAGCCATGGCATCCAAATGTGTCATGAAAAGCTCTCATACCACAAAGACGGTAAACTATTCCATTTGCTTAGCAATGATAAGCATCAGTGAATCAGTATATCCGATCCGTCTGAGGTAGATATACTAGGAAATTAAAAAGTAGGACTTAATAGTACAGTCCCAGGAGGCGGGAAGTACGAGGTTTGGTCATATCACACCGTAAGGTATTTACTGTCGAGTGCAACCCAGATTTTCATCCTTCCGTCATCCGTTTGGACTTTAACTCACCCATGAAACTGTGAGTAAGGATTTTACACATACGCACACATTTCCCCGTCATCTGGAGCGGGACATAAATGCATGTGCTTAGGCTGGACGTTGCATCTACAACGGCCCGTGAAACCCAGATGTAGAGTATATAACATTCCATTGGAATTCGACTTATGAATAGCCAACCTTGATTTAACGAGAATTCCCTACTCAGTTAACCGTGTATTAATTAACAAAAAAGCTTTAAATGCTACCATTCCCACCATTTAGATAACTGCAAAGGACAGCTTACAAATGTTTCACCAAATTAATCGTAGTGAGTTATGTCGTGCCGTCATGCACCTATTGTCGTAGATTTAAGTTCAAAGTTGAGCGTTTTGTCAAACTTATATTTCGTTTTTCCCAATGAGTAAAAAGAGCTATATTCCGAAAATGTTATTGGATGTCGCTGTATAAAAAACATGGCCAACTATTCATCTTCGTTTGTCAAATTTACCATGGTCTGTTTGACCAAAATAAGGTATATACAAATGACGCCGCTACTGTGGAGGCCAGAAGATATACAAAATCGTCAAACCAATGTCACAGATGGTAAAATGATTTCATTGTATAACTGAAATGTCTGAGACATCTTTCTTGCTATATGCTCTACTTCTTGAGAGGAAATTTGCCCGTGGAGATAGATAGGGTAGTAACCGTGTCTTTTGTCCCTTTCAGAAACAGGTATGTGAGACTATTACAGTGCAAATCCCCCAATTTAGGGCAAGTCTTGGTAGCAAAAGAGGCAGAAATTGTATTGATTTTTTTCTGTTCAGGAAACTGGATTCATTACTGCATATTAATCGTTGTGGCACCCATATGTTACGATGCAAGGGGTAGGTGCTCGAGCAATAAGTACTGCGCATTTTCCTGTAAGAAACACTGTGTCGAA